GCGAGGGGCTTCCTAATCACTCATTTCTTAATTTGAATCAGTTGATTTATTAATTTATTAAATTATTTATCTAAAACATGTTAGGTGTTGTTAACAGAATATTCCAAAATTATAAAATATGTTGATTACCAATGCATAAAAACGACTTGACGGAAGTGAAAGATAAAGATGATTACGTACTTAACAGAGAATGATTAATAATGGTTTAAGAATCAGTAAAAAAATCAATGGAAAAAAGTAAAGAAAACTGATGTTTATAGTCAAGTTAAATGAGAACTTGTTCCTAGAAATTTATTTATTGTTCTGCATTATTTGAAACTTTTCAAAAGCTGTTTTATATGAACATTTAATAGACAACTTTCGTTGCAATCTTCTTAAATGATATAAGTACAAGTACACATGTATATAAAGTGGGTAATATTGTTCGCAATATTTCATTAAAAGGGCATCCTATTCAACCAATATATTTATTTTCAAAATAAACAAGGTTTAAATACGACTACAAGCAAACGCACTTGTAAAATTATTTTTAAATGATTTTAGGATTATTTAACTAATTGAAATCGTGGACTGTAAGTAGTTGAATAAATTCGGATACACTAGGTCTATATCACTTTTATATTTGAAATACCCGAGAATCATTTTCGTTGAGTGTGTGTAGAAGCGGGTTTATTTTTAAAATTTCGTAGTTTCGTGGATACTCTTAATACACGTATTCATGTGCACCAACTTTTTAAAATAAGAATGATCATTAAGTGTTTCTTTTTTTTTTTTGCAACCATGGAAATGGAGTCCATGAATATTCATGATTTTACAGTATTTAATAATTGGATAACCAATAAATATTTATCGGTAAGGCAGACGATCTATTATCTAGTAAACGATATATTCCGAATAATTTGTGTATAAATTCCATACCGATAATGTAGGCATTGTGAATAAAAACGTTAAAAAGTGAATATATATATATATATATATATATGCTCGTACAAATATTTTTGAATGTTAAGTAGGTAAACGACTACTGTAAAATCTGATTTTTTAGCATATTGAGAATGGAGTCAGATCGCATTAGTGTTAAAATTTAAAATGAAAAAGTAAAAGCTATAAAAATAGTATATCGAAAATTATACTAATATTTAGCAAAGATATTGTTAGTAATTATAACAAACTAAGCTTAGCTGTATAAATGGATAACGGTAAGATATTAAGTCGACCTTCGAAACTTACAAATGTAATTATATGTAGACAAATAACGGCAAACATTGCCCGTTCCTTTAGGATAGACGTTCGGGGATAATCGGGATTGGTGTTATTTAAGAACTTGAACGTGAACTTGATTTTCATTTTTATTTTGAAATATCTGTTTTGTAGAAATTAATGTATGAAATAGTGTTAAATTATATTTGAATTTAGTCATATTTTATTGTATATATATATACAAAAAATTGAACACAAGTTTTTACAATCTATCATAGTCCAAAGCATATGTTTTGTTGCCGCTCAATGTTCGTGTGTGTCTATTTATTTTTTTTAATTTAATTTCTTTTTGTTTACAAATTTCGTGAACTTTTGATTTCGTTCATAAATAAATCTTAATTAATCTGAACAATCTATTTTTATTAAGAGAATTGCATCAAATTGTGAAAATAGAACATGAAACATAGAGCATTATAAGACTTGCGATAGAAAAAAAATGGTTTGCCTCAGATTATTAGTCAAACGGCGCAACCTGAAAATCTCGATTTTTAGCATTAATTATTTACATAATAACCTTTTTCTGGAAAGTAGTCTGTTTGGTTATATCCGTTACATTATCTCAACGCTGCCAAACATATTTTTCTTTACTGACAAACTAAAACTAAATCACCTTTTCGTTTATGATATAGTGTTAATCTAAAAAGATCATGTCGTAATTGTAATGATATTTAACAATATTACATACGACACATATGTTTTTCGAGAATGATTAACTTTTATTAAGGTCTTTTCTGACACTTCATCTGTTTCCAACCCTCGTTGTGGAGCACAGGATCAGGAGAACTCTCGTGTATAAACCCCGCCGTCTATAGGCACAGGGTTGTTTCTGACTCGTGTGAGGTCAAAATATAAATAGGTCTCACAAGGCAGAATGAAATTTGCCATCTTAAATAATTGTTATTTGTTTCTTTTGTCATTACAATCCTTTCCACATGAACGCATGTCTCTCTGCGCCATTTTAATCGTATATATCGCTAATTTTATATTTTATATAGTTTCGTGCCGTCTCGAAACGACGAGTTCCTGTAAAGAAACAAACTATTCTTTTCACAAAAACGAATTTTAATGATAACTGACTGTTAATTAAAGCACCCGAAATGGTTGACAAATCACTGTATAGTTTAAACAACTATAGATGCAAGTTAGTAAAAAAGACACCAGCGTCATTAATACCTTTCACTAGAAATTTAGAGGTAGATACTTTATACAAAGTTGTTACAGAACCAAAGAATGAACCAAACTTTCTGATTTAAACATATTTTATCGCACATAAGTAGCAACAGGATTGGGCACAAGTTTTACAGCTGCACCATACAGTAAGAACTCGTCAGTGATGCTAGGTAATTTGAAACTTGAAAAGCTTTGCAGAAAAAATCTAGCTGAATATTTCGCAAATAAAAAATACACAACCATCGATACATATGATTGTTCTTCTGGCACATCAACATGTTCAATGTTGTTAAGTTCTTTTGTGAAATGACATTGAGAAAGAAGAGTAAACGTAATCAAGTTGATTTGTTAAAAAGATTTCTGTAACAAAAATGTGTTGTTTCTGTGGTGTTTTAACCATAACTCTTTTCATAACGTCCGAGCAAATCAAAAGGGATAGATATTTTAAAAAAGTATTATTACCCATTATCAATTAAAAAGAAAGTGAAAAAGCATAGAATTTTTATAGAACCGCGAAAAATTTAACCATATCAAAACAGGAAAAGAAGAAAAAAATCAGTATCATGCTCAATAAGAAAAAGTGAAAATGTCTAGAACTGTATATGTGTTTTGTAATGATTACAATGACGCTATCAGTTTGGTCTCTATTGGAAGCGTACATGATCAATTCCATTTTATTTACACGCAGTTTTGCTTTTTTTTTTTTTTTTTTTAATTTTTACAGAAATTATACATCTGTACAGTAACATACTTTGAATATAATTTGGCACAGGTTGTCAGTTGTCTATATTTAAAGGAAAAGATTGAACATAGATAGCATCATAAAACTATGGATGAACTGTTTATCATCGCTACTGTTTATCTCATCATTTCAGTTAAATGGGGAACAAATATATTTGTGACAGCGTGTGTGGCTCGTGTTGAAAACTTTGTTGAAAAAGTTTTGCGTATGAATTAATGAAAATTTGAAATTATTATTTAAATACATTGACAACACGGCATCGCACGAATGGTAATTTCTTATTTATATTTTACTGTCTTGTCAGTTTCCTATATCGAAACAAGTTTACAATCTGCAGCCTCTAAATTGAATTGCAGAGCGAGATGTTGAACGTTTTATAATTTATGAAATATTCAAAGTATCCTAGCTCGTACCGTATGCTGCATAATGTTCTCCATCGTGCACGGTTTAATGTTATGCATGGACGGGATTATTTCATATATAAATGTACACTTAGAAGTATTTTTGTATCCTGAAAGAGTTTATTTTGTATATCAAAATCTTCTATAATACAAGCCCCCTCTACGTTGTTCTGTGATGTGTGACCAAGTATTTATAACAATTTGGAGATTAAATCTCTTACTAATAAACTACGGGGATACTATCTTTGAAGCTTCTGTTTTAGCTTTTTGCTCTGCTGCTCATATTTGGTTTATCCACTTCATACTAGGTAACCGCTGTGTCATTGGCTGATGGATTTGATAAGCATTCCCTGAACTGACAGTAACATCAATAGATTACCTCCACACTTTCGTGTTTTCGTGAGGCTGGCTTTTTTTTTATTCGTATGTGGTATCTCTATTTTTGTGATTCTATATCACGATGAAGGATGACTATTTTGGAATCGTTTTCGAGATAAGCATGGACATAGAGATCATCCTTAAAAGTCTCAATATTATTTCAATATATGTCGGGTCAAGACGAAAGGACAAAGTTATCAAATTAATGTATTATTGACATCTAGAGGCTTAAATGTATCCCATGCATGTCCACTTGAACACCCCCCGGAACAGGATTTCACATAATATATTTCATCTCTGATCTCTGTCTGTAATACTATGGTATCACATGTATAGTGAGAACTTTTGCTGAAATATCTAGCATTGTTCATGACTATCTAAAACTACAATGCCACACATATTTCTTTGGGTGATATATCGTTTGTTCACCACCCAACTTAAATACATTCTAAGAAAGTAATGTAAACTTATTTCTAAGACTGGCCCGTTCCTTTTTAGTACTTTAAATACTTTAAATATCCGACGATCATTATTTAGAAAAAAGTAAACCCGGTTTGCAATGTCAGCTCTTATGTCGCTAAAATAAAATATTTACTGTCACCAGATTAAATTTTAAAATCGTTTTGTGGATGACGACCCAGGTGACCGTTGTTGCCCTTCATTGTTTGCACTTTCACGAGCTAGCGACAGCTGATATATACTTTTCATAATATAATTATACAGAAGACATTAAGTCAGGTATGTAGCGCTATAATAAACATTGTGGACAGTAATCATATTAGTATTGTTTGCTGAAATGGTGCTCTACCACCTTATTCGTGGATATGCTCGTTCGCTTGACATCCTCGGTAGATATTGAAGGGATACGGAGGGGTAACAACCAGAGGGTAGATATGCAAGACTTGTCAGAAGAACTATATTTCAAATAGAACGGTGAATTAATGTTTTTTAGGGTTTGCTTGGTGTCATTAATAGCTGAAATGCCCCGCATGATGTAATGTGGGAAGAACTGCGGGCATCTATCCCGTGTGCTTGTAGTGTGGGAAGATATGTGGGCCGCTGTCCCGTGTGATGTAATGTGGGAAGATATGTGGGCCGCTGTCCCGTGTGATGTAATGTGGGAAGATATGTGGGCCGCTGTCCTGTGTGATGTAGTGTGGGAAGACATGCGGGCCGCTGTCCTGTGTGATGTAGTGTGGGAAGACATGTGGGCCGCTGTCCCGTATGATGTAGTGTGGGAGGGCATGTGAGTCATTGTCCCGTGTGATGTAGTATGAGAAGCATTTTTGGTCGTGGGCCGCACTCCCGTGCGTTGTCGTGTGGGAAGGACTAGAGTCGATATCCCGAAAGAATAACTGTGGAAAAGACATTGAGTTGAAATCACGTGTAATGCATTGTGGGAAGGATTGTGGAAATCCCATCTGATGCAGTGTGGGAGTCGATGTCCCGAGTGATGAATTGTAAGAATGACTGTGAGTCGATTTCTCATGTAAGGAATTGTGGGAAGAACAATGGCACGTGTGATGTAAATGGCAAGCATTGCAATAAAATATTTGAAGCGGAAATAAGTGTGTGTCCACGTGATCTGATCCACACGTGTCTACTAATGTGTAACGTGGCAAGGCATTGAAAGAAAGGCAGTTGTATATCTGTCTCGTGCGACTTGATGTATGCAGTGTTTTAGCTGAATGTCCCTCGTGACTTTTTGCGTGACCGGAATGTATTCTTGAAAAGGGAGCTACTATAATTGATATCATTATGTCACTATTTCCAGATTTCGAGACATTTCCTTTACTCCGAACGTGTCCGTTGGGTCATCAGAAGATGCTTGCGAGAGGATACTTTCTGATGCTGGAATTAATGGATACGCCATAGCGAAAGGCAAGGTGAGTTCATGATGTCATAATAACAACGGGTAGGGCATTGACAGGTACAAGGTGAGTTCATGATGTCATAATATCAACGGGTAGGGCATTGACAGGTACAAGGTGAGTTCATGATGTCATAATATCAACGGGTAGGGCATTGACAGGTACAAGGTGAGTTCATGATGTCATAATAACAACGGGTAGGGCATTGACAGGGACAAGGTAAGTTGATGATGTCATAATATCAACGGGTAGGGCATTGACAGGGACAAGGTAAGTTCATGATGTCATGATAACAACGTGTAGGGCATTGAAAGGGACAAGGTGAGTTGATGATGTCATAATATCAACGGGTAGGGCATTGACAGGGACAAGGTGAGTTCATGATGTCACAATATCAACAGGTAGGGCATTGACTGGACAAGGTAAGTTCATGATGTCATTATAACAACAGATAGATCAGAAAGAAGGAAAAGGTGGTGTCATATCAATTAGATTGTCATCCTGTCAATGGGTTGGCATAAGCAATGGTCAATCAATCAGCCATTATATCAACTTAGGAAAATGGCTGAGAGGAGGCCATCTTGGATGTTGACACCAATACTGCAACAATTTTTCACTAGCCAAAGGGCAAAGGAACCAAACTTACACACAACTATTAAAGATCAAGCGACGATGGGCACAAATATCTGTTATGGGATTTCTTTCCCTATTTACAGACATTGTCTTTGAATATGAAACTTGCAGAATGTATACAAAGGTTTATATTTTAGGTTCTTCTTAGACATTGGCATGGCCCCGTTCTACAGGAAATCGTTGCCGAAAGAAAACAGATGATGGCGTCTGCGCATGTGTCGTATATGATGGATAACGATATCGTTGATCTTGACGATGCGACATCAGTGTCAATTGATACCAAACGAAGACCAATATTGGAGGCAATTGTAGATGTCCGCTCGGCCGATTCATCGTCATCTAAACAAAACAATACCTTGACGTCATCAGCATCCTCGCACACTAGAGTGGCTGAATGGATGCAGCAACAGGATCACGTGACCTCAGATGTCTCTTTACCCACACCTGTCTACAGCAATACACCGCCACCGGTGTTTTCAAAAGTAAGACGAAATTTAGAATCTATCGTTTTTCTTTTTTCCATAAAAACCTGCTTTTCTTCCAAATGTCTCACTTGACACTACCGATAATTTTGGCCTCAGTGATTGGGCTCAGTGATGATTATCAGCCTAAGTGAGGAAGACTATGTGTTCTTTCTAAACTGGAAAGTAAAACGCGTATTGTCCCAACTGAGAGGTTAAAAAAATCTCTAAAACATGAAATGTCCCGACTGAAAGTTAAACTTTTAAACACGCAATTCTAACAGTAAGTAAAAAAATTGCTAGAGAATTGCTGATATTTTTAATTAGCTTTCTAAACAAACATCAACCTTATTTTACTATTGTAGAAATTCAAATCGTTTTTACGTACTTACAAAACAAAACCATATTTGATGTGTGATACAAAGGTTCGTGATATCACATTGTGGCATTACGTGATTGATCTTTCTAATGTTTTTTTTGTGTTTACATGTATCTGTTTTATTTTTCAGAAAAGTAGTCACGTCCGCATCAAGATGCCAAGAAAGGATGACTCGCTATTGGACATGTGAGTACTCAATTCTTTCTTTTTCTCTTTTCGGCAAGAGAAGTTTGGTACTTTATCGTTCATGGACTACGGGACAATCCGCTGTTTTAGTTGTGATACAACTGTATTATTCACAGACACCAGCATTGTTCTGAAGTATCCTCTTTCACATTTTTACAGGCGTCTGTGGGATAGATTTCAGATGATCCCGCGTGAGCGCGTGTCAACCAGCGATACCTTCCGGCCATTTCTGCGAGCATTTAAGATTTTCTGTTATGTCTTGTTCTTTTGTGTGGTTCTGGGATCAGCCGTCGTCAGTAAACTTTGTATTCTTCTCATGTCGTCAAGTATTCTCAAGGTAAATTGTTGCAGATTTCACATATAATAGAAGGTACATTTCTTGTTCTATCATTCTCCTATTTATATTTAATTTCATCCATTCATATACAAAGGTTCGCGATCAGTTAATGTACAATGGTTCGCGATCCATTCATGTACAAGGTTCGTGATCAATTAATGTACAATGGTTCGCGATCCATTTCTGTACAAAGGTTCGCGATCCATTTCTGTACAAAGGTTCGCGAACCATTCCTGTACAAAGTACGCGATCCATTCCTGTACAAAGGTTCGCGATCCATTCTTGTATAAAGGTTCGCAATCAATTAATGTACAACGGTTAGCGATCTATTTCTGTACAATGGTTCTCGATCCATTCCTGTATAAAGGTTCGCGATCAATTAACGTACAACGGTTCGCTATCCATTTCTGTACAAAGGTTCGCGATCATTTAATGTACAACGGTTCGCGATCCATTCCTTTACAAAGGTTCGCAATCCATTTCTGTACAAAGGTTCGCGATCCTTTCATGTACAAGGTTTTCAATGTTTGGACAGCTGTAGTCAACAATATTAACTGATGGCATACATAATAAAATGAATAAATATATTTTGTCTGAGAATAATTCCGGTTAGGTGTTAAAGAACAGCATCTGACAGATCCTATCACGTTTCATTATGAATTATGTCGTCAACATCATTAGAAATTAATCAAATTATTATACAAGTATAAAAAACAGCAATTGAGGGTTCTAGTGGAAACGTATTAGCTTCAAAATGAATTTACCGTCATATCTGAATTCAAATAAACTTCGTAATACGATTTTTACAATATATTCTTGGGTACTTAGATACACAAGCGATAAAAAATGTATCGCCAGAGATAAGTATGATAGTTCTATCAAAGTTATTTTATTTTGAAATTTTCCAGTGATATCAAAATATTCCGCATGATACTGCATTAATTTTCGTGAGCGAATTACTTTCATTGTTTCGCGGGCACTCCACGAATTTATTTGTCCACGAACTTATAGTGATTAATTCAACTTTATTTATCCATAATATCAATGGTCAAGGAAATTGTAGTTTCTTTTTTATTAATCACGAAAATTGAAATCCGCGAAAATATATGACTTATACAGTATTCCATTTTTGTGTTATATGCGTGTTTACAGGACAAGAAGGCACTGAGAGAGTCGAATAGCCCCACAAACACTATGCTAGTCATTACGATCTGTTTCCCTTACATCATATGGATGTTCAGCTTTTCAGCAAAGTCACTGTTTGGCAGTAACGCTTGGCCATCCTTTAAAACTATCGTCATTGTAAGTATTTAATGCATAAAATAAAGTACCTCGCAGTTCATATCATACACTTGACTTACCATATAACTTTTTACAAAGAACTTATTGTCTTTTCATTTTTAAGGTCATTTAAATTAAAACGGAAGTAGCTATACTAGCAAACCATTAGTTTTCTGGTCTTTTATTTTGATTTATTTCGTTTTTATCGTTAAACGTAAACAGCGAACTCGTTAGAAACAATATTTATTTATTAGTTGATTTTAGAGTTTTATTTATCCACGAATTAAAGAGTCAACTAAAGCAAGATAGAATAAAACGCACACACAAAAAACAAAACAAAAAAAAACAAAAAACCAAAACCAAAACAAACAAACAAACAAACACCACCAACCCCCCAAAATCAATAACTCATCAAAATTATAGCCTCAAAAATATACATAATTTTGCAGTATATCTCTGATTGTTCATTGGAGGGAAAACGCAACTAAACTTACTTTATTAATCAAGATGAAGTAGCCTAACAAACCAATTGGTCATATATTCATAATTAGAACATGAAATTGAATCATATTTAGCTGTGAATTAACAAATCTGTAAAACGGCTTGATTTCTCATCCTTTTAACCTGTTTATGTTGCCAGACTTTGTTTATGGAGCTCCTTCACTCTTTTGGACTGTGTCTCATGGTATTTCACATCCTTCCAAGGATGGACATGGCTCGAGGATTACTTCAATTCTGTGGAATTTGTACAGTTCCTGCATTTTTAAAAACAATTACCATAGCAACGGACAAATCAAGACCAACCGTGAAGAGATTAACTTTGACCTTTATCAACGGCCTCGCTTTCGTTATACAGTTGTGCAATCTCGCAGCATCTACTATGTTTAGTAACCCTTTAAAAGAAGCAGAAAGGGACCAACTTCAAAGAGACGTTATTTATGACCCAGATATTCTACATACGGTAGGAAGGCCTGCACCTATGTTTGAAAATCGCTATATGTGGGAAATACCCGTGGCTTTGGTATTCATTTCCGTATCATATTGGGAAAATTTTGTAGAAAGTGATTTATCAATTTGCACGTTAAATATACCATTTCTTCAATGGAAACGGCGACTAAATTCTGTCCGGGAAAGACTGTACATTTTTGTTGGAATTTGGAAGACTGGCTGGACGCTACTGTTCGCTGCTCTTTTACTTCCGGGCTTTTCATTCAATATAGAATTTTCCACTTCCGGATCAAATCCAAGTGGCACAAGGATAGGGCACACTACGACAGTAGCAGCAGTCGCCTCTGGTGTGACTGTAACGTCGAAACCACCGATAAGAGCGCCGCCTGTGGGAGGGAGCCGTAAAATTCCTCTTGTGAAAAGAGCAATATCTGATCAGATCGGTTTAAACGGTGTGAGTGCTGTTCTCAATTTGACAAATGCAAACCTGAAAAGTCGAACACCAAAATTTCGTCCGAGACCTCTCCCTGTACCATCGACCTCACCATCTATTGAAAATCCTTCTCCAACCATCAACGGAAGTAGCGACGTCAACTACAATTTACAACTTCCGGAATCTGTTAAGAGGAACTTTGAACGTTACGGCCCGCTGTATCTTCAGCTCTTGTGCAGCGCAGTGTTGTCTTACTTTGGCAGTCTTGCTTGTAAACTATGTATGCAGGTTATAGGGTTCGCATTGCCTTTGTTCTTGGCAACACCTTTAACACTTGGAATCATCATCGTCCAATGCTATTCCAAATTCATCCCCTCCTATCTGTATATATGGTTGTGTCCGGAAATGGCCGGAGAAATCCGAATGTTCCACCTGTTGTGGCTAGGAGTTCTCTGGGTGTCACAAATCATTCTGACGTCACACATCTGGTTCCCCCGCAATGGCAGGATGGCCAAGATAGACAGGTTTGGTTTTTAATCTATATTTATATTAAGCATCTAAGCTCTTACTAAGCTATTATACATCCTTTATATGTCATTTCAAAGGAATATTTATATCATACAATGAGAAAACCTGCATAATTTACAAAATGATTGGACTTCTGAACAGTAAAATCATCAATTTTCGTGGGGTTTTTTTTATTGATTTCTTGGGTACACTTAATCCACGAGTTTGTGCTGATAGAATTATTGAGCTATATCTATTCAAGAAATCAATACGATAAAGCAATTTTTTGAAAATTGAGCCCTAAGAAAATATATGAATTTACGGGAAGTGACTTATCTTGTGTTGATATTTTTCTCCTTTAAATCTCGTTTCTGTTACAGGCTGTTTGTAATGCCAATCCGATGTGGCATTCTCACCGACCAGTCGCTGATACTACGTCGGCGAACCAATGATCGCGACTCTGCGCTTTTCAGTTCTGATGATGACGCGTCCACACTAACTGATGACGAGGAAGTTCATAGGGCTGACGATGTTGTGCCACAAATATACGCATGCGCAACTATGTGGCACGAAACGCGGTGTGAAATGACACAGCTTCTGAAATCTTTATTTAGGTAAATGTGCTGTACTGATAAATCAAAGTATCATTGATATAGATTCATCCTAGAGTCAAGACAATTCTTATCAAACTGTTTTAAGGTCCTTTAACGTTTATAAAACATCCAAGAAGGAAACCTCAATGAGTTTCTCAGACTCTTTATAGTCTCTGTAGTCTTTAAACAGAAAGGTCATCATTGATTCTCTAATGCTGAAACAGCGGCGGATTTCGTCGGTAATAGCAATTGTTAGTTAACAACGAATTAATTGCTTGGTTTTTAGGATGGATATTGACCACAGTGCGCGTTTCCTGGCTCAAAAATTTTACGGGATAAGAGATCCGGATTACTATGAATTTGAGGGTAAGCTGTTAATTGTATTGTAGGTGTCGAATCATCACACCATTTCATACAACTGTTTTTTGTTTGGGTTTTTTTTTTTTTTTGTTTGTTTTTGTTTTGTTTTTTGTTTGTTTGTTTTGCTTATCACAATTTCGATACATATTTTTCGGTCACTTTTGATTTTACTCAGTCAAACAGGAGACCATTAACATCACTGACAAGTCCTAAGAGGACGAAACGGATGGATGATGCAACTTAATTCATTGTTTGGCTCTGTTGTATCTAAAAATGTGCTATTGACTTGTGTCTTTTGTACAATCTTACAGCACATGTGTTTTTCGATGACGCAATGGAGCTCTCTGATGACGACAAACTAATACCGAACAGCTTTGTAGCGGAGCTCATGGATTGTATTGATGACGCTATCAGGTTAGTGTGAAAACATACACCTTTAAATGTACACCCTAAAACTTGTTTGATTTTTTGTACTAAAAACAAGTTTCTTATTGATAGCAAATTGTCACGTACTAACGGAAGTTGCTGATGGCTGATGGCAGATTTGCCTCACTAGGTTTTTGTTCTTGTTTTCAGAAGCATAATTGGAATTCCAGATATGTACCATATACTTTTTGGTGTGTTTTTTAAAATAAGGATGTTGCATGTTTAAATATACATTCGAACCTCCTTTTTATCAAATTCATATAACTCTAAAATCCTTTTTAATTCGAAATTTTCGTCGTTCCTGGCCAAATTTCACACGTCGAAATAATGAGGTTCGACTGTACTTTATTTACACACCTTGACCATCGTTTAAAGAGCGGCTTTGCGAGACATTTCCTTTGCTCGTATTGTGGAGATATCCGATAAACTAAACTTCCTTCCTAAATCAATTCTCTACTTGATAGTTTAAATCAAAAGCTTAAACGGGGCGTAATTTTCGTGGTTCTACAAAAGATATTGTTTCATGAACACTTGATTGTGTGGATGAATATAACTAATACATCAGCTTAAACTAATTATAACTGTTCGTGGATATATTAATTCGTGGGTTAAGAGCACCCACAAAATCAATGAAAATAAATTTGTCCCAAAATTAATTATCTTACATTATCCTGGAGAATGATATAAAATGACTATTAGAATTAGTATAAATAGAAAATAATAAGTATACGCACACTGTTGATTGAGGTCTGAATGGTATACGTTATTTTGTGTCTCCCAGTTCCGTCCACGAGCGTCAAATGACCCTGGCCCCGCCTGTGCGCACACCGACCCCTTATGGAGGACGGATGACTTGGCGTTTACCTGGAGGCACCCGCCTCGTCGTCCATCTGAAGGATAAACACAAGATACGCCACAAGAAACGCTGGTCACAGGTAAGAAATACCATGCACGTGTACAATAGCTTACCGCTTAGGAAATTATTAGTTTTTCTTTAAATGACTATCGAAACGGTAGGAGGATTTATGTATGTGATTTCAGATTGTTTAGAACAATCGGCTGTCTGCTGTCTACAATATGCAGATATTGATGAAAATTTCAGTTAGGTTTACAAAATGAGACTTAAAAGTTTCTCGCTGAACACAACAGAATAAATCAATCTGATTTTCATAAATGGCGAATACAGAGGTTATATATGTATTTATCTATTCCATTAGGTAATGTACATGTATTATTTACTTGGATATCGGATCCTAGCACAACCTGAAAACCTAATTCATCGTGATGTCTTGGGGTCAACGAGTACACCAGACAACGACTCCAACACTCATCGCGTCAAACTTACAGAAACACAGCTTCGACAACGTCGACAATCGTCACATTTTACGCGCAGTGTCATATTCAACTACGTCAGCGACGAGGTCCATACCCAGGTATTCTGATATATGATATAAACATATACATTGACTCATAAACAAAAATAGATTCTCGACAATCACGATGCTTTAGTATGTGTTTCTAAAAAAAGTAAAAAAAATATATATTTTTTTGAAATTTAACGTGATATACACACAAAATGATAACAAATCTGTCTTCATATTCATTGTTGGCATCCCTTTTGTATATCTCAATCAATTAATGTCAAGCTAACAAAAAAAGAGTTAGGACAGTGATGAAAAAACAACTCTAATTGTCACTATTTGAACATGTGACAGCCAAGTGTGCAATACTGAAAATGAATTTTCCAGGCATGTCCAAACTTTTATCAATAAATGAATAAAAATTTGATTTAATGCTCGAGTGAGCGGAACACGCTGCTTTTTAGAATCAAAACAAAATCCTAGATAATGAGGGGATCTACTTATATAAAAAAAATAACCAAAGCATAGAGGTGCTCATTCAAAACATATTTTCGTTCATCTTGATTTACATGGCGTTTGTCTGCGATGAGGATGTTTCCCCTTTCGTAACAATTTATCTTATTCTCCTTGTACTTTTTCAGGAGTATTTGTGTAAATCGTTCCATTTATCTTTTTTTTCTGATCTTATCGAATTGAATTTGAGTTGGATTATGATTTTGTTGTCATTTTTTTTCAGGCAGAAAATACTTTCATTTTGACTCTGGACGGTGACGTAGATTTCAAACCAGACGCTGTGCGACTACTGGTGGACAGACTGAAGAAAAACAAAAAAGTTGGCGCAGCATGTGGGCGCATACATCCGGTTGGATCTGGTAATTTTTTATTGTTGCAAGCTTCATATTCATTTAACTTAAAAAGAACTCGTTGTTGCTAGGTGATTATCCGCTCATGTATCTCTACCGAAAAAATATTTGTTGAAGAAAAAGGCTGTGTTTTGAAATAAGATCATTTAACCAGCATCAATGGCGAGTTCGGATCAAGAAACAGAATAATATGGCTTACTTCAGTTCTGACTGAACTGCGATTCTAATGCTTAGATTTATACTGAGTGGTGCCATTCACCTTTGCGTCTTTTGTACAATCTGCCGCTTTCTGATTAATAGTAAAAGCAATTTTGCATATACTGACAACGCTTGATGGCATTATACCGGGTTGACATAATCTAATACATTACTTCACTTAATTGACACGTGTTCAAAAGAAATAACCCTTATTCCTGTTTGATCTCTCTCAAAGGTCCCATTATGTGGTATCAGGAATTTGAGTACGCGATTGGCCACTGGCTACAGAAAGCCACCGAGCATGTATTTGGATGTGTCCTGTGTGCCCCAGGGTGCTTCAGCTTGTTTCGGGGGTCAGCACTCATGGATGATAATGTCGCACGGACTTACGCCATACGTACGACAGAAGCGGGCCAGTACGTCCAGTATGATCAAGGTAATGGGGGTTATTATAAAAAAGGTAAATAGTGATCATGTTGAGAATTAATGTTGTATAGAGAAAGCAAGGTAGCCTTGTCTGAATAAGGGAATGAGAAGTCTATTGGGATTAGGGTAAACCTATAGTATCGTTAACAAGTATATATGAAAACAATAATCAGCAGCCTGTAGATGTATTAATGAAAAAGTGTAACACTTTCTATTTGAATGTCCACTATATAATGACCATAGAGAACAACTGATTCATAGCATATCACAAATAGGAACACCAATAGATCATCGCCATTTTGACTCGGAAACTCTTCTGAATGGTTGTGAAACATATTAATATTACTCTCTTGCATAACGCAACTGTGTACATTCAATAAACCAATAAATTTGATGTGTGACTTTCCTCGTACTTTATTTTTGTAAAGATTTCCAAAATGTAACCTGATGGAAACAATCCTTATTAAGAGTGCATTTCAACTCTGACTGGACTAGGTAGGCATTATGTAGTGTATACTATTGTATATATACTCAAGGGATAAAGAAACGCAGAGTAAACTTTGAAATTTTTTTTCGTTTTGTGTTTTTCCCGAAAAACATCGTAACGCAATATAAAAATGCAACACGGACCACGTGCGCTGTAACCTAGAGAGTTGCTTGACCGATTTTCATTGTTTTTAACACACACACACACACACACACACACACACACACACACACACAAATATATATATATATATATATACTTATATTTAACTTACTATATGCTGTAGTAAGAGGACCAACTCCGATATAGATAAAAATAACAATTTACATCTGGAAAAACTAGATTATAATTAACCATAAAAATACATAGTTGTATACCTACCGAATGGGTGGATGGTCAAGGTGTGTATACACAGGGACTTTTATACCTGAATCAATGTTCAATAAACTATCAATAAATTCGTATTATCTGCATAATTATGTTCAAAACATACTTCAGATATACTAATTTAACAAGTCATTTATATTCCATAACAAATTTGAGTTACTTCCCCTCGTCTGCTTTAAAATATTGGATCGCTATAATGTTAATGAGGATTATGTGTTATATTCATGATCTAGATTTCAAAAGGCTTAATATAAGCCTAGCCTGTTGTCCGACCCTATTAACATATGAAAAGTTATAAAGGAAATTGAACAATACTCATTATAGTGTATTGATTAGATTAGGAAGGAATCAACTAAATCTGTATTATACCAATGATGTACTACCCATCCTGTTGTAGGCGAGGATCGTTGGCTAAGTACTCTCCTGCTCCAACAAGGCTATCGAATCGACTACTGCGCAGCTGCAGATGCATTGACTCACGCGCCTGAGACATTTTCAGAATTCTTTAATCAGCGACGTAGGTGGGGACCATCAACTCTGGCAAATGTCATCGACCTACTCGGCGACTGGAAGAACACAGTCAGGTTGAACGATAACATCAGCACGCCTTATGTTCTCTACCAGTTTTTTCTTCTTGTCTCCACCTTGTTAGGACCTGCCACCGTGCTTTTGATGATGGCAGGGGCGTTCTCAGTCGTTTTCAAGACAAGTGTCGTCCAATCGTACGCACTGTCTTTGATCCCTCCAATCGCATTCATTGTACTATGCATATACGCCAAGCCAACCACACAAGTTACCATAGCAACAATAATGAGCGCGTGTTATGCTATAATTATGACTATTGTGTTGATAGGGACCATTGGGACAGCCATAGATGGATCGTTGACCAGTCCGAACGTCGTCTTTCTTCTGATTCTTGTCATCATTTTCTTCGTTGCAGCCTTAATGCATCCGGAGGAATTCGCTTGCGTCATCCCTGGTGCGTTATATTTCATATGCATACCAACGGGATACCTAGTGCTTACTATATATTACCTATGCAATCTGCACATAGTTTCCTGGGGAACAAGAGAACTTCCGATGCGGAAGTCTAAAGAGGAAGTGCTAGAGGAGAAGAAAGCTTTGGAGGAAAAAAGACTGAAACGTCAAAGGAAAGGTATCCTAGGTTGGCTAGGTCTAGATAGTTTTTTGAATGAAACAGCAGATATGTTTCGACAATTACGCCAAGCAACTCTAGTGCCTAAACTGGATACTAAATCCAAAACCGACGAACTTCTGGAAGAACTCGTATTCGAGTTACGACAAAGCCGTGATACAAAAATGCCACCGAGGTCTCGGCCGTTCTCAGCGATGACAGATGCCTGTAAAGCAGACACCAAGGTGCTTAAACACGAAAGCTCGAACGAACGACAAAGCCATAAGCCAGAAACATTCATGTCAAAACCGGATGTTACAGATAAAACTCCATTGTGGATGAAAAATGAGGACCCAGAGAATCCTGGATGGCTGCAGGACTCTGTGTGTGGGGAGGGGCCAATAAAGAGGATGGACCAGCGAGAAATGTTGTTTTGGGGACAACTTCTAAAGAGATATCTTCATCCCATTGTAGAGGACAAAATTCACCAAGAAAAAGTCGCAGCTGACCTAAAGAACCTCCGGAATAATGTTGTGTTTGGGTTTTTCATGACAAGTGCTCTATGGATTGCACTGACAATGCAGTTGCAGCTGTTACAAGACGAGTTTAAGGACACTGCACTTTTCATTAAAATTCCCCATTACGATCCTTTGAAAAAGGATTTAACATTTGAACCTCTCGGTATGTTTTTCCTTGGATTATTTGGCACTATTTTGGTTTTTCAATTTATTGGTATGCTTTCTCATCGCTGGGGGACCATCCTTCATGTTCTTTCCATAACTGACGTGTCATGCGGTAAAAAGTTTACAGAGAAATATAAAATTCAAGAAATCATCATGAAAACCATGGAGCTTCAACGAGTCATCAACATTGAAAACGAACCAGAACCCGATTACGACGATCCCATTGCAGATTACGAGGAAGAAGATGTCGATGACGACGACGAGATGTCATCTAATATGTATACTGATACGTTATCTAGCGCCTCTAGTACAGCACATCCACCTTCTTATCACTCACAAGACTGTCCAAATAAGAAAGCTAACCTCCGCAGAAGAAATAGTGCAATCTTCAACAAACGTGGATTCTCCACAGGTCGCACGTTGAGGAGGGCGTTTGAGCGACGCTTTAGGAATCAGTTGAAACGCGAAAGAAGTGGAGAAACACAGGCAACTGATGACTCTCTTAGCAACATACACAGGGCTGTGGAAATGTCAGAAAGTGTGTAAAACTCCCCATTGTGGTTATAATACCATACAAAGAGTAGTCAAGGTCGCGATAATAAAAGAAATGTTGATAACTTTTTTCTTGATTTAAGTGACAATGCTAAAATCTTTCCATTTACGTATTGCAATGACTTCGAAAATTGCTAGAAAATGTACGCTATAAAAATATATACAAATAGTAATAGATTTTCATTTAAATTAATTGCAATCGTTGATTACAGCAGTGTGTAACTATTTACAAACAGTAGTCATTTGTCTACATGTTGTGTTACGTGTAATTGCAAAACAATAGCATTTATAACGTGTTGTTCACATTTCACGTAATAACATATAAACAATAGTTATACTTTAAGGAATGAAGTTAAGAACCGGAAATGTCGAGTAAGATGATTAACTTCAGAGCACAGACACACAATACACAAAAGATTTTATTTCGGTGAAAAACATTATATAAACACCATATAATGTTGACAAATGACAACAAATATGTTAACAAACACTTTTTCATATATTAACATTGGGAATGGCATTCTGATTCTTTTAAATCACTATGGCTGGCAATCAGATGTTACTTTTTTGTATTGAAATTGATTTACATTGTGTGCTACAGTTTTAACGCGGGCAGTCAAAATCTTATTCCGCAACGCATCGAAAGGAAATAAATTCCGGTCAAAATTAAAGTCCATTTTATTATAGAACCAATCTCTACATCGATTACTGCACAGGTTTCCTAGTTTTTCAACAAAACGTCATGAACTACAAGGTTTTGCCATGTACAATTCTCATTCGGACCCATTTCTGCTCTGGCAATCTGACATCTCCGTTTTACATAGTTATCCATTCCGACTTTCTGGTATTTGTCACATTGATTGAAGAAAATGAATGCAATAGATTCCGTGATTTTTCTATCTATATAATGATTACAATACATCTATACAAACACCATACATGATGAAATAATCTTCATATGTATGAGGTGTTGAAGATAAATTTCTGCATTGGACACATCTTAATAATATATTAAATCAGCGTAGAGGACTCAGTTACAGACCTTTATGTATTACTGCGAACTTCAATTTTAAACAATTTCTTACCTGTAGGTCAAGATTCATTACCTCATGTTACTTATAGAAAGCTAAAGAATCGCAAAAAAAAAACCAAAAGAAATCCACCCATACAAAAAATTCATGGCAAACAGCTTCGGCAAACGATTTATCTGATCCTCTTACAATGTATTAAGTCCATTGCATGTGCTATGTTTCTACAAATTGTCAATCTAATTGTAAAGCTTTACTTTGAATAGTTTTAGTGAACAATTATTTAGAAAATTCAATATTCCATAGTTCTTTTACAAAACGTGCTTACACGTGCTCAAGACACAGTCTTTATCTACCATATGGGATATATTTATAATTTATTACATGAGAATAAAAAAAACATCTGTTGTCCATATAATCATTTCAAAAAGAAAATAAACTTGATAATTTTTTTAATATTTGACAGTAATTTAGTTAATAAAAGATTTGAACAACATTCCTTGATGTGGTTGTTTGTCATACTTTGAGTACAAGTTTAAAAAAAAAATATGCCCGTCAGGGTCGGGCGGCGAAGTGGTAACGTACTCGCTATTCAACGAGTCGTCCGGGTTCGATGAGTTACCTCCCCGGCCCCGGCGGAAATAACCCCACTTTAACATTTATTTAATGTAAGATCGCCTTTTTATACTTAACTGATGTGCTAACTGGAATGCTTGACACGTTTAATCATTCTTAAGTAAACCGTTAACCTTCGATGCGTGCATTTAAATCATATGTATTCTATTTCATGTTTTTCACTTTTCAAATTACCGCCATCCACAAACCACTGCTATGTTAAGTGGCAAATATCCTGAAATTAGAAAAGACCTTTCATTGTGATAATTGTGCTTCAATTGGTTTTGTTATTCGAGAAAGGTGTTCTGTGACAATTTTATTCTTTATTTTTGTTTCTCGATAACTTTATAGTATGTATCACTTAAAAAACGACTCTTTAAATAATGATTTAAATAAAAATAGTACTTTCGTGATGTAATTAATACTATTATTCTATTTAAGAGCGTTTCTGACACATGGAACTTTGAATACATCGTGAAAGTAAACTATGAAAAATAAGTACATGTTTGTAATATCGTTTGGTACATTTGTTCCTCATTCCTGGTATAAAACTGACAAACTGAATGGCACACTAATTTGTTAAAGGAAGATGACTTGCTGCAAATATTTATTTACAATATATGTACTTAGTACACTCGCTCTTTTTATTCCAAGTCACCATTCTTCCGGATGACAAAAAATGAGCATAACACCGTATACATATGTAGCTTAGACTGCAATTAGCCTCTAGGTTATCAGGAAGAAGTTATATTAACAGAGCTTACATGGACATTTTATTTACACAAATAGATTTTAACCAATATGAACTATATATATATTTACATGAAAATTTTTCATGATATTCGTTTGTTCTGCTACAATAACAATCGCCGTGCATTTGAAGACTGTTGTTGACCACACAGTTATTGATTTTTCTATATTCTATTATAGATTTGATAGACGTATAATTTATTGTTGGCATTTCGTGTTTCCTGTTGTTAACTCCCGACTTTTTAAGTTTGTTCATGTTTATGTTGAGCAGATTAAAATTGGAGTAGTTAATGTACTATTTACGCAAACGAAATTCGGGAAAAACGGAGATTCAAAACATCATATTAAAAAAAATATTAAAATGGTCCTTAATGGAATCCTAAATAAAATCCTTACACGAGAGATATTTCATTTGAATTTTAAGGAGTACATGGATATATTTCTAGTTTCAATGGAGTTTCTAAACAATCATGAATTAAATTCCAACACTTTTTGTTCAGAATTTTTACACTAAATCAAAATGTATCGTAAGCAAATATTTTGGTTGAGAGTCTAAATGTAATTTCCATGCTTCTTTGTTGCACATGGAGGTAAGAAAATACGGACTTTATTTACGTGAAAGCTAACATAAACGATTGCTGGCAGAACAGCATAGTATACCTAGTCAATCGACTTGTATGATATACTATATAAATGTATAGATCTGTGGCATTCATAATTGAAAGTACATATTAATATTTTGTAATATTGACAATACAGGTGTAAAGTTACAATCTAATTTAATTATATACATATCTAATATATATATGCTACTATTTCATGTCTTTGAAGATAACCGTATAGTCAACATTCCCATATTAAATGTAATGTTTTCGAGCATATCTAGAAATTCTCAAAGTGATGACTATAGGTCGGCAAGCGGATATTTTTATTCAATTCTGTGCATGCTCTGTCTACTTTCAGAGTCATTGGAGGAGGTCCACAGCTAAACACACCCACTTGTTTCACCTGAAATCATAATTCATAGATATTAAAACACGGGTTTTACCAAATAATACCATAACGATGTATTTTGCAAATCTAAAACAAGTCATTCTAAAATATTTTTTTTTATTTCGTAGAATTTCTCAGAGCGCAAGAAATGAAATGTTTGCCAGCAATTTTGTTTATTCTATTGAGAAGAAATCTTTTTGTTGAATCTAACCACCATGATTGTTTCATTTTCCTTTTTGGCATTATTGATAAACGGTGAAAGTGACGTAAAAAGTTTACCGGAACTCCTGCCTTACCGTGGGGTGTTCCAGATGAAGTGAAGTAAGAAAGTCCTGAAACTGAGGCCGTCCAAAGTGAGTGGTGGCAGATAATCCAGTAAACAGACTCTTACCGGCTACCTTGTGGAAGTGGCGCTCACAAATGTACTGTTGGTACAGATATAGAGACCACAAAGTATTAATATTTCCATGAAAACTAGAACGTTTCCATATAAATTACTACTCTTTGAATGCTGAATTTTGCAATATGAATTCTACCAAAATCAAGCTTGTATTTTGCACGTAAAATTTAGTTTATTTCTAAATTTTGCCATTATGGTAATACTATAAGTCGGTCAAAGATTCGTCGGAAGTTTTCATTAAAGTTAATAAATAATAAGTTACATTTGAGTAAAATTACCATCGATAATTATGATTTTTTTAAGCTTTTTCTTAAACATCATTTTTATATTATCTCTGAAATGATATTAGCATAAGGATGCGCAAATCTTTCCCAGCGGACTCCATTGTATATAGCAACGGACATTTGTTTCAGTAAGTTCATCATTTTATGTGTGCGGCATTTGCAAAGATGTAAAACTGATGTTTTAAAACACGATTAACAATATAACGTGAAAGTTCTAAAGGCATTATGAGAATGAATATAGTACGCACCAGCATTGTAGTCCTCAAGTCAAACTTCTGTTGGAACTGTGTGATGAAGATATGGACAGCGACCAGTTCCTGTTTGTCGGCATTCTCCACATCCCGGATAATATCGGTTAGCCATTCAAACTGTTTCTGGGTGCGAGTCACCCACATGAAGTATACCTTATGAAATAATAAGATAGCATTTCACCACCCTAACTAGTGTCACGAGATATCATAATCAGCAAATCAAATTATATAAAGAATAATACAAAGTATGGCATGAAGTTAAGTTTCGATATATAGTTATCCTGTCCGATTGCATTCCAAGATTGGATCATTTGTATTTATTTTGAAAGTGGAAATAGTTGCCAGTATAAAGTTGCGGTGGTCTTACCTTTTGGCAAGTCATACGCTGATTATCAATTTGAGAACGATGAACTATATCTTTTAAAATGGAAGCAAACGGCGTGACTCCAATACCTCCACCGACAAGGACGGAAACCGGATATTTGTACCAGTCCTGGTGTCCTTCACCAAACGGTCCGTCTACGTACACCTGTACAACAATCGAGTCTTAGTGAAAACAAAATCTGGTAATATCGTCCCTTTGGCTCTTATCTATCTAATTCTTATTTTCAATTAAAATAATCTATTTAATACGTTTATGTACACATGTACAAACAAATCCAACTTATTGTACAGCACTGTCAAGTCTTTGTGATAGGACAATTGGTATCACCTCCCCAGACAGTCCATAAACACACGTGTCACTATCAAATGGTCGTGAATCACATCCTAATAATCCCTCCCCAAACGGCCCATCTATGTACATAAATTAATCAAATTTTAGGTTTTTTTTGTTTATCACACAAGTTCAAATTTATTGAGATCATTTTTTGATGTTTGTTTGTTTCTTCTTCTTTTTTCCTAAAATGTAAACACCCTATCACTATCTAGTAAATCTAAACGAGAACAAGATTTGTTTATCTACTAGACACTTGAACTAATGTTTTTTACCGTACCTTCGGTGGTATACGGTCTCCAAGATTATTAGGATCATACGTATTCCGGAGGTTGATAGTCCATGGACCCACGGCTCGGATGTGGAGACTTAGGAAATCCTCGTGAGGTGCTGACGTCAGCGTGAACGGATGGTATTCATCTTCTCCGAGGTCTAGACACGCTATTCTAACCCACTGTCCAGATTTGTAATCAAAGTCCAGTGGACGTTTGAATTTCAAGCCTGTGACATCTGTAAACAAATTGAATGACATAATTACAACGGTGAAGGTCAATATCATAAATACAAGTATAATTTTAACACTCAGATTTCAATCATTTTATGTTTTATCTTTTCAAGAAGAAAGGTTGGAAATTTTTGTCAAATAAATCTGTTACTATTATCATAATATATACATTTGAGTGAGTTTCATCGATTTTGGTTACGTGAACTGATAGACAAACGTCAACATGCATTAGGTTAACTAACAACAATATCAACACAAACATGCAGGAAGAATTTTAAACAGGAATAAAACATCATATCGTCAATATACATCATAAACACAACAAATTGATATCAATATCCACAACGCCGACATCAGATGAGTTAGCTTACCATGATGCCAATTGACGTGGAGTATATACTACAAAGAAAATGAAGGGACAAACATACCATCATTAGTTACCATAGGGAGTGGTAATATAACAAGACATTGTGAAATAAGGGACAAAATACAAAAGTGATTTGAAATATAACGTTACGCTTATACGTGAAAAATGAGATAACCGGATATTGTTACCTGATGGTAGCAGATCGGCCTGAATAACAGATATTTCTCGCTTTTTTCGGCTTACGCTGATGAGTTTGTCGATGACATATATAATAAGTGGACCATAGAAGAAGTTTTGGAAGAGCGGATTCTGCACGAGCCGCCCACTGCCATGGAGGACTAGGAAGATGTAGAGGAGTATGTAAAAATTATGGGTGAACCAAAAGGCGTTGAAGAGGTGCCGACGTGCGTACGGGACGGCAAACACATACATTATGATGATAATGAGGGTAAGAAGGATTCCAGTAAATCCTGCAAATAAAGTAAAAATGGGTCATTATAAAAAATAATTTTATAATAGAAGATTTAAACTAAGGTAAAAGTTCACATCTAACTCTTCCGTGCAACAATCATCTGATTATTTATTACGTAAATCTGATTAAGGTAGACAATATCTGGTAAAAAGTTAACGGAAGATGTCAGTACATTATGTTAAATAAGCATTTTACACTTAGCAAAGGGGTAACTAACAATACTCAAAAGTACTTGAAGAAGAAAAAAGACAATTTAGTTAAAACCATTCGAAATTCAAAGCGGTTTTATATTTACCAGTGATAGTTTCGTAGGCCCAATAATGAAATGAAGCAAGAATGTCAGTTCTGAAACAATAAAAAGTGAAATTGCTTAAAACAGCATAATCAAATTGATTATGAATTTATAACACGATAACGCAAAATGTGACATTATTCCCGCGCCTTGCTGTTTTAAAGAAAGATATACAATCATATAACATAAAATACTGTTACTGATATTTTGATATATATTATCTTCTACCGTTGACATTTTTAAGTATGGTGTGGTACCATTCAAAACAATTATTACATAACCCTTGATACAAATTTTATTAAGACGTGTAAAAAGAGACTAACCAATAAAATTGAAAAGCCTATGATGTATCAGTATCAAAGTGTTTAAGGTTTCACGTCATTCTTCTTGTAATGCCCCGAAAACTGTGAAATTTGTATATTTGCACATTTGTTTCTTATCAGTTTCCGTGGTAACCGGAAATAGTGATAATTCTTCCACCGCAAATAGCACCAGTGGAGTGATAGGATGTAACAAAAAAATACGAAATCATTAAAGGGAAGATGTAGAATACAACTTTGGATTAATGAATGATCAAATAGAGCACAGTGTACTTACGCTCTGAAGTACTCGCGGAAAACACAGTTGAGGTCTGTTGACGCCTGAGTACTGATGTGGTAAAGGTTTAAACCGTGTCCAACACAATGCATCACTGAAATGATACATCACATACTCTATCTAATATTGAATTTGTGTCTTTTTACAATACCTATAATACCAATTCTCGTTAGGTTGATGGAATATCCATACTTTAAGTTAAATCAATCGAAAGATACGTCTCGAATACCATGACAGTTTTTTAATGCAAACATTGAAAAATATGTAGCACGTATTGACAATTCTAAAATAGCAATGTATAATCTATGTGTTATTATTTATGATACAAATTGTCTGCTTATCACGAATATGGTGTGAAATTCGCGACGGTGCTTGATTTTAAAAAAGGGAATTTCTTGATTTTTATCAGCAAGAGGGAACACCGCTATCATGATTTAAAATCTGACGTTTCAATTTGAATGTAAAACACCACGTCAAAATTAGAAATGTCAATAAAATCATATTAGAGTTTGAGTAGTCATCTAAATGAGGGGATCTCCATGAATTCACGACTGAAAACAGAAAGTGTCTAACGCCAAAAATCAGGAAAATATTTGTAGCTTACAAACCTGTAAAAAACAGCGCATAGGCTGCAATGAGCTTATGGAAGTCGACAGCAGAATCAAATGGTATGTAAGTGTGTAGGAAGGTCTCTCTCAAAAAGGTGATCACATTCCTGCTCATGGTCACCAGTAAGCTCGAATACGTGAACATCATGGCACTAGCTGCACCACGTGTTACCGTGACGCCATATCCGGCTATACGTCTAAGACCACCATGCTCTCGTTCCACCGAGTAGTCTGCCAGAAAAACGATAATATATCACCATAAATTATTTGTTACTTAAAAAATTGAAGAATGACATTTTAAGATTATGAAAACTGAAAAAATATTTAAAATCATGGAAACATTACGACAAATATTCCATTTGCATCATACTTTTTATACGATTTCCGAGTAGATAAATGAAAATTTCTTGACTGATCAACATCCGTAATTATGAATGAATTTGTGTCAACCGAAACTTACAGTACGCTCTCTCTCCAAAGACCCCGATTAAGACCAGAGTGTATAATGTCACCCAGAAGATCTGACGTTTGTAGTTCTCAATATAGCGTATGATTTCGTTCAGCTTCTGCTTGGTTCGTGTAGGTGGTATTTCCTTTTCGACTGTTTTCACTCTCACCATGGATTTTGTACGCGACAACGGTCCAGATCTATAAAACAGACAATATCGTTTCTTATAAACATCTTTTATCTCAGTTATCTTACGAGAATGATAATTAACAGATGTCATTTAATAACTGTCCTTTTCAAATGAGTAAGTTGCCGGAATCAATTAAAATGTCAATAATTCTATTACTATGGATATGATTTCCTATTTTTTGATGAGCCCGCTATAACTGATAGACTTATATTAGTTACTGAAATGGAAAGTAAATAAGTGGTGTGAAGAGCAGCTAAACTTTCAACGGTATGGTTAAATATAACAAAATGAGCAATGCATACAAAAGACGATCCACAACATTTTGCCATCCACAGAAATATATAATCATTGTGACAAAGAAAAAGTATACAAACAATGCGTTTTACTATAAAGGCTTCACCAATTGGCGACTTTTCACAACTTAAGTTCGATTATTTTAACTGATGTAAAGCTTCCAGTTAAGCAATGCTTATATTAAATAGCGATACTATCTATTATTAGCAGACATTTACATAGTAATACTGTATATGAATGTCGCTGAAAGCAGTCAGGAAAATTGTATTGTAAGGCATTTTTAACAGTTCCAATGCAATTGTAAGGCATTTTTTACAGTTCCAATGCAAAGAAAAGAATACAAAATTATAAGAAAAGACAATACGCACGGTACTAACAGGATATTATTTTTAAACTTGCAAATTCATAAACACAATGAAAGTATTCTTCATGATATCAATTAAAAACATGTGGTAAGTGAGATGTTGAATCCACGCGAAGTCGACTTCGAAAGAAATCGAAAGTGAAGGAAAGGAGAATGGCTACTTACCTGAAATCTGAAATAGTGAAAACCAACCACAGTAACTACACAATAACATTCAATTACACGAGATGAAAAAAAATCTATTTAAAAAAAACACACACACACACACACACACACACACACACACACACACAAAAAAGAAAGATGGCAAACAGCACATCTAGCTCTTTCGTTCGCACTTGTTTACGTCTGTCAGGTTCTTCTAGGCTACGATTGTATATTTTCGACACTCCGTTTTAAAGTGTGTCACAATAAGCATGATTTTTGAACAGATACGTAATTTTTGCTTTTATTTCTGGTGAGGACCATATTTATATCACCCATCCCCTTAGGACTTTTTAACAATAATTATAAGTTTATACGTATACTTTGAAGATTATTTTGAGTTGTGGAAATGGAAGAAAATTGATTTTCAGTACCAAAGTTTTTATTGAACTTTTTAGGCCATGGAATGTGAGAAATTCTATCTTTACGTAATATTTTTTGCCTAAATTCCTCAAAACTAAGAACTTCTCTTTTAATTCTATCAGGTTTTACTTTCCATAGGAATTCATATTGTAAAGTATTGATAGTTATAATGTAGTTATCATCTGGATTGGGAAGGGCTATACATGATTTAATTGAGAGATAAGTAACGTTTTTATAATAGTTATTTTGCCTATAGAGGTGAAAATTCCTCTACTCCATGATTTAATCAAAACTTTTAATTTTATTATCAAAGCTGTATTGTCAAAGTTTATTCTAGTTATTCTGTGTAAGTCAACATCATAGTCAATACCTAATAAGTTAAATTTAGTATATCCCTACTGTATATCACATTGAGTCTCTCTAGTCATTCGGTAAAAAAATGAAAAACAGTATAACCATCTGAACTGGAACTTTGTTTTTCATTTTTGTGGTTGCTACCATTTCAGAATATGTGATAGGTCCCTCTAGCATTTCATAATCAAATGGAGATAACTTTGGTACTTCTCTAAACTACAATCCTGATGATCGGATTTTTTTTCTAAATAATTTCTCATAGCATTTTTCAGTTTCTTTAAAAAAAATCCCATTGGTCAGATATAGTTCTCGGTAATTATTTTTGATGTAATTTTATTGGTAAAATTCCTCGATTCTAACTCACAAAATATTTTGTTGGTTTTCACCTTGGTTTATTCATTTAGCTGTTAAGATGAGACTGGTCAGGATTATTTTCTAGTTCTGTGATTTCTTTAGGTTATCTTCCTTATTATTTTTAAGCTTTTTTGTGCGAGATCCAGTCAAGCAAAAAAGAAATGAAAGAGAGTGAGAAAAGTAAATGAAAGGACGCAAGCATTCTTTAGTATGAAGTAAGTCATCTGTGGCATAAAACAGACAGAACATTAATCATTTGAATGTGGGAGGTATTTAGCTGCACAGCTATGTTGGTCATCAGGCCTGATCACGTCTGTCACTCTTGTCGGAATTACATGAGTTGAGTTGATCATGATTTGAAATATTTGATGCCTTATTCCAAAAATTCACTGCCCACATATAGAGTAGTAAGAGATAATGCATATCCTGTTGTATACTGATACTGCGTGAACGGTTGTCGACGTAGTTGTAGAATATTGTATCCATGTGATATATATTTACTGTACAAAGCAGGAAATATCAGACAATTGTTAGATGTTTTCGAGATTTTTAATGATCACCAGTACATCTTTAAAATACCAGCAAGCGGAGGTTAAAATATGTCTAAATATTGTCTCGGAAATTGTGTCATGTTATTTACTTTATGCAAGTATGGTATAAAATATAAACTTTTTTTTGTAATGATTTCACAATGTTATAAATGATGTATTTTTCTAACTGTGCTGAATGGTTGATACATTTTAATACGTTGAAAACAGATAATTTTTATTGTATTTTGTAAGTTTCATGTTGCGATCATTTTTAATAAAGAACCCTGAAACCAATTAATTAAAACAAATCACAACACGCCGGTAAAGTAATTTAGATTGGTCCGCGCCAATTCTTACCCGTTATTTTGAGCGTTCCTTCCCATTCTGAAAAAATTACATCATAGTAATTGCAATTAACCCCTGTGTGAAACACATGTACTTACTCGGTAGTCAGTATAATCAGTACCAAACCTCATGACTCGGTTATTGCTAAAATAGATACATTGTAAATGCCTAAAGGTACATGAGAAGTGTAGAAAACATCGAAATGATGCCAGACAATACATTGTTTTGAAAAAGAACAAAAAAACTTTCATGTTTATTATGAAATGTAAATATTTACAATTGAAGCCCATTCTTTAGATGACAAAGTTAGTTTGGAGCATGGGCTATATAGCTAATTTTGCACTCCGAAATATGTTTTCATATATAGACAATACCCTCTCATAATGTATCTTAGTCCATATGTAATAAGTTTTTTAGTGTTTCCAGACAATGACTCCATTTTGGAACGCAACGCACCGAATCCTCATGTTTTAAATATTTAGTAATCAATCGCAACTGAAGCAGACACCACAAACATGTATTTTGTTGTAGCATTTTTGATGAACAGCAGACACATATTTTCCGTGTATAAGTTACTGCTAAACTGTACTTACATCAAACCGTACTCGAGATGTACTCCGGAAGCTATTTGTGTGGTACTTACATGAGAGATATTCAGATTACCATAAAACCAAATAATACTGGTTCTGCTTATATCGTATTAAATAATTTCAAAACCATACAACCATTCAGGTATGATAGGTGTCCAGAAACCCGTCCTTACATTAAGATCACTGCTGTTTCATATGTACTTGACATTATTAAAAAAACGTATCAGTGCACCTTCCCATTTAGACTTTGATATGGCTTTCATTCACATTGAATTTTCTTCAGCCGAGCCCTAGGCTTCAAAATTTAGGCCCATCTCAACACTGACGAGTCCTAGAAGAACGAAACAACGGTAAGATGCGGTTTATAAATAATAATTTAGCTCTACTGTATCTAATTATAAATTTGCTATAAAAGTAGCCATTTGCTCGTGTTTCTTTTGTACAAACAAAAGTGTAGCGGTTTAAAGCAAGGCTTTGGTTTCTCGTGGTTGAATAATGATTAACAGTGCATGAATACCATTCGTGTGGATATGAGTTTTACTTAAAATGCAAATTACTTACTTGTAGCTTTGTAAGAAAGTCTTCCTGTGGTCGTGTCGTTTCCCTTTGGCTGCTGTTCGCGGTTTTTCGATTGCTGGAAAAACAAACATTCGATGGTATAGAAAATATGATAACACTATTGGGTTTTATGTAAATCATACAAAACAGATACTATTAGAGTCATTTCAAAACATTTGAAAGAAACAAAAAGTTGATAGTATCGAAGGCAATTATTTACTGATTAAATGTGTTATGTATCACATAGCCAGGACATCTTTGCAAATATAGCAAAAAGCTCTCAATAATTTACACATGTATACCATGACAATGTACCTGATTTATGTCATGTTCCATTTCGGATGTAAAACAATTAATAGGGAAAAGTGGAATAAGACAGCAAATTTATCTAGATAAAACTATATCACCAAACAAAATGGCTAAGAAGGAAACATTGAAACAAGATATAAAATCTAGATAAACGGTGATGATGACAAGTGATTAAAAAGTTCAAATAATAATCTATTTAGATGAATATTAATACTAGTCAAGGAGAAAAAATTGAAAGAAGTTATAAAATATATCTTGGTGTAAAATCTGAAGATGGAAATGATACGGTGTATATTAAGTCAACCGATGCAAACAAACAAATTTTTTTTTTAAGTATGTTCATTTAATATTTATTGCAGACTAATCAAAACTTTAAAAGAAAATTTATAAATCACGAAAGATAACGTTTATGTGTGATACCATACTAAACATAGTAAAATAATATATTCCCGCGGGCTCAAAGTTTTTGGTTTTACAAAAATACACATATTCGTTGGTACTTGTTTTCGTGGATTAACCTTGCTAACAAATTTCGTGGGCATATAAATTCATGGATCTCAGGTACCCTTAGAATTCCACGAAAATGAATCACCCACGAAAATTAATGATTTTACAGTAGTGTATCATTCAGACAATCAACAGTAATTGTTCGTACTTCCTATCCCGAGACTGGCGTTCTCCAGTGTATGTTTATGTTCTTCTGAGGCAAAGATACGCTTGAAAGCAGCCAGGTCGATGTTCTGATCGCTTGAGATGCCAGCTGTCTGAAACATGGTGTCAATAAGTGTGTTTATCTCGCCATCGTCGATCGACTGGTCGGATAGGTCCAATAGAGACCTGGGGAAGAAATAAAAAAAAAAAATAATGACATACACAAGGTCATCGGACTCATTGCATCGTCAATGCACGTACAAAGAATTATTAGACAACACAGCAGGTATAGGAAATATAATGGAAAACGTCTTTTTTCAATTAAATGAGAGCATATCGATCTCGGAAACAATGGAGGAGGCAATCCCGAAAATAATACCAGGTTTATATTCATTCCTATGCAGAATATGAACCTCATTCATCCAGAAAAGGATGTTTATTTCTGAGAATTGAACCCACAGGGCTATTGTCCTCAAGTATATATTGGCCAACAAAATAGGAAAAAATGTCAAATTCTTTCTCTTTACGAAAGTTCTGTTATATGTCATGCTTTGGTTTGTGATTAAAACAGGCAACTTTCGAAAACCATTATAGCGGTATAGCAGTATAAAGCTAATTCGCATTTCTTACTTGATCATTTTCAAGAATTCTGCCCTTGTCAGGTATCCTCTCCTTCGTAGATCATACATGTTAAACATGAGCATTGCTTTGTCATCGGCATCGCCTAGGTGTACAAGATTGTCGTATTTTTAACATTTAAAATAATTTGTTTTTCCTGACCCAATGAGACAAGATAACAGCCAAATAGAAAATACGAATTCGTTGTAGCACATTTTTTTTCTAAAAGCAATAATCACCGGAGTAAATCAATATTGTGAGATTTTAGTAAGTTCAGAAACAGTACAAGACGTTTTGTTGTAAGCTACTGTACATGTAGTGAGAAAATAATATCATCCTTTGACGTTATATGAAACAAAAAAAAAATGATACTAAAATCTACTTTGGTTCATCATGTAATTACTTTTATACATAGATAACGCTGTTGCTAATACCTACCAGATGACATCACGACAAACATATCGAGGAACTCCTGAAAGCTGACAGTTCCGCTGTTATCGGCATCCACCAATAGAAACATATTCCGTACAAACACAGAGGTAGGCTTTAACCCAAGAGCCTCAGCGAATTCTGTTCTGGTCAGCTGTATTTTCTGCACCTTGTTGATATCGTCCCCGCTTAAGTTAGCAATATTCATCTGTCCTGGTGTCCGGTCAAATGCCTTTCGAAAGAAAAGGAAATATGGAGGTACCCCTTGAATTACTAAGATCTCCTTGTCAGTGTGATTATCATTATAGTAAAAGAAAGTGAATAATTACAGCAGAATGCGTTCCATTTTTCCGGTATTAGCGATGTTCTATGAATAAGAGTTTTCTGATGATTAATTTACTTGAGAAATTTCAGATATGATAAAAATATTTGATAATAAAAAGTGTAAATAGACTAAAAAGCATTAATTGAATTATATCATTATATAATATATTGTTGCTGGCAGACAGATATTATATAAGATATCGAGAGTTGATACGTATCCTCTTTAAAAATTTCCGGTACACTTGTTCTTTTTTAATTGAATCAAAATACATTTTAACTAACTATTCAAGAGTTATTATGTTTCCATTATATATACCGTGATAGGATTCCTCTTTTTACTGTCATTGGTTACTAATACATTATCAATTTCTATGACATTTTTCTGTTTTGAATTCGTATTGCACACCTGTGTTTTTTTAAAGCAACGATCTACTTGATTGGTTGAATCTATAATCCCCTTGGTGATGAGATAGAGAGAACTCAACTCGAAGGCGAATGTTGGTAAATTGCCAACATATGGTAGTGCTTGCCAAGTGTTTACAACTTAATAATCATGACCCGATGGTTGAGCTTCCATATCTCATCAAGGTCTTGGATAATTATTTCTCTTATGCCGTTAGCTTTCTTGTATATGTATTATCTAAAGCTATGCATTATTTATGTGATGTCATAAGAGAATCCCCCGTCTCAATCCTGAGATGAGACAAAGAAAATTTATACCACTAATGTGTTGATATTCCTACCCAGGGTAAGAGAAATCATATCCATTATTTGAATCCCTAGTAGTTATTCTTCAATACATACATTAACTTTATAATCAGTAATTATGGGTCACGTGTTACTTACCTGCACACATATTACGCGAAAGAACGTATCGAGAATTTTCTGCCTTTCTTCCTTTGTCTCAGCTAAATCAATGACGCTTTTCTCTTCGAGTTCATGTCTCTCCCTATTGACGCCCATCTCCAGAAGAAAGGCATCTAACTGATTGATGAATGAGTTGCGTTCTTCTTCATCCAGAAAGCGTAAAACCTGTAGAAAACAATTTTAATAAATACCAACTAAAATGGTTTTCGAAGATTTGACATTCTGAAAGTATAGCATATCTGAGTGAAGAATAGTAGAAATATTTATTGACTGTTTAGTACTTTATTACAATAAATCATGATCCAGTTGTTTGACAAAGTAAAAAGATACGTAACAAGAGCTGTGTGAAAGTGTTTATCTCGTACGTTTAAAAAATAAACATGAATTCCAAAACAGGAATGAATTGTTATCGAACGGAGCATTTAAGCAAGCAATGATCTATCAAACTATATGTATGTATATTGGTGACACGATTTCGAATTGAAAGAAATGAGACGCACTTCGATTTAGACAAAAATAAAGTAATTTTTTTATCAAATGTCACTAGGAAATCCCTACCAAATCGATTTCATTAGGAAATCGGACAGACATGATATTTTTTTGTCTGTCACGGGAAACTCGGAAATGAATCTTTCCGGATATTTTACGGAGATCCAGCATACGAAGCGGCTTCCTCCTGGTATCAGTAACATGTATTTTTTTCCGTTCACTGTCGAACTTGACTTTGACTCTTCTGTCTCCCATTGTTGGCCCCATCCATTCAATAACTGTGAACAAACAAACAAACAGCACTTAAGGCACTGAAAATATCGTATATCTAAGGTTTTTTGTTGCTTTACATCCTAACAGCCATTTAAGGATGAGCTAGGTTTAAGTGGCGGATGAAAGCCGGCGTTTCTGGGGAAAAAACTGCCGACTTACGGCCAAGACCTTGCGATTGCCCCACGAAGAACTTGGACTTGAGACCCAGAGGTGGAGGGCTAGTGATAAATACGGTCTTTCTCTTTAACCCCTCGGCCACCGCGGCCTTTAGAAGTAATTCCGATTTAATACATTACATGTGTGACAGCACAACATTCATTTGTTATTAAGAATGTATCTTGGTGTGTAAAGTCATAGTTGTGAAATATTGTTCAAAACCTCACCAAGAAATCATTTTATGTCAACCGTAATCAATCATCTATCCTCATCTGTCTGGTATTTGGGACTGTCTCGACATAACTACGCCCATCTGTTAATTTGTTTAAATCAGTAACATTTATATTTAACATATATATGGAATACAATATGTGATACATTAAAATCAATAATTAAAATCATAAAGGGTTCACGGTAGGAATTCAATAACAATGCGAATCAGGTCCTAAAAACAGTGTATGTAAAACGATTATCATTTTATTCCGAAGTCGGTCTTTTTTTACCTCATGACCAAGGGGAAAGTCCTCAGTGGTCAAAATTACGGACTTACGGAGTTCATAAATGTATATGAGTAATTCGAAACAAATCAAATAATTTAATAATAATAAATAGTTTTTTTTTTTTAATTTGGCAAAAACAATTAAAATATCATATCAGTTCAAGTTGATATTAGCGAAATAAGAATATGATTATCTCACGAACAAATGTGATTGTTTGTTTACCAGCAGTCATATTCAATTAAGAAAGCAATCGTTTGTAGGCATTTCATGATGTAATAGATGGATCTTTTAAAACAGAACTTGTTAAATGTTAATATAGAAATCATAATTTCTACACACGCTACATTCCAATGAACACGGTATACAATTGGTAAACCATTCCATAAAAATTATATAAACATTCACAGCAGATCAATTCCATAAACAATGTATCATTATATATACATTGTAAACATAGCATGTCACTTAATAAACACGATATTCTTCTGTATTTAAAATCACGATTTAAATTTTCCTTTTATAAACAATGTCTTATATAATCTACAACAGAGCGAAGGCTATGAATGATTCTATATTTTGCATATGTGTCAAAAGCAATTAATTGTAGTTACAGTTTTCACTCATTTTCATAATTCTTTACTGACCAGAATATTTTGCAATGGACTTCAGCATGGTATTCCTGTGGACTTGTGAGTCTACCATTGCCACCAGCTTCGTTTAGAGAATACTTTGCAGTAGGTTTAATAGGACAAGACCACAAGGATTTCGTAAAGACAACCAAGATAATGTCAAAATTGCAGTCGCTGATAGTCAGCACCAGTTAGACAAAATACAAAATATAATTCCATCAGAAAAGTAGAGTATTATGAAAGGTCTTCAAAATGACAAATACAAATGTATCTCGATGTTAATGGCATTGACGAGGAAAGATGGCAACACAGGGGAAGAAACACCTGGCTATCTGAGATAACCAAGAATGTGATTATTGTTATTATAACGAGAGAAACCACTACTGACCGGAAATCGTCATTTAAAGTATCTGAGGGAGGGTAATTCGCCAATCTTATTTATCACAAGTTTATACTCAAACGAATCCTTCATTGCATCTATGTTAGCAAAGTTACAGTTTATCTATTTACCGCATTAAAATTCCAACAGGGAATACATTATATTCACGATGAATTAACCTACAATTCGTTAAACACATGAGCCGTGGTGACATCATAATATCATGGTATCATACAAGGAAGTTGTGCCAGCTCCACGTCTGGTACGCCGTGGCATTCACGTCAACTTATATATATATCTTTATCAATTTGAGTCACTTTTAATAGGTTTCACGTCGGTTTCCTTCGGGAATTTAAGTTTTACATAGTTACGATGTACCCTTTCATCCGGACGGACATAAGCGTTTGATATCAATTGTTTCATAATTGCAGCAAAATAAATGTTAGTAACTAAGTTAGTTGTTTATTTAGTATTCTTAATCATTATCATTACCTTCGAATGAGTTAGGGTCATTACTTTTGGCCCTTTGCTTTGGCGCCATTAACTTCCTGGCCTCTTGGATCCGTTTCTGACGTAATTTTACCATGAATAACATGATACCGATCGTCCCTGTATACAAATAAATACTTGCATCGCTAAACAATCAGGACATTGTTTTTCTTTGTCACAAATCTTGCAAACTGCACATGTATCGTAAAGACTTCTACAACATGTTAAATATTCACTTATTGTACACTATCACAAAAAATATATTTGAAGGTATAATTTGATGAAAAAAAACATTAGTCACTAATGTAAACAAGATGCTTCTGCATAGACATTTTTGGAAATGTTTTCGCCCTCATCGTTTAAGTGGGAAAGATTGTTTTCTGGAAAACTGTCTTTTTACAGCATTCAACATGTACGTAGCCTTCAATAAAGTGTTCCTCTTTATACATTTTAGACAATCTAACCTGGTTTAAAGTTCATTTTGACAACGTAGATAACAAATCCTCCATCAATTTTTCTTTTCGATATATAAAATGAAAATTTTGAAAAACCAATTAAAGTAATATTTAAAGTATGACCAAATAAAACTTACCAGGAACACAGAGTCCCAAAAACAGAAAGCTCAAGGCAAAGGAAGCTTCACTCCCATAGAAGTAATCATAGTGTTGGAGTGTGGTACAGTTCTCTATAACAAACATCCCATCTCGTTGATTATTGCTGTCAGCTGCTAACGGTTCAGGCTGAGGACAAGGATCTGTAAGGAAATTTTTTTTTTAGATCAATTTTTCCATGAGGCCATAACAGTCAACGACAGGAAGACTCGTAATGATACGAGGACAAGATTAGTATCTATTAAAAAAGTTAAGCTGAAAAATGTCAGCACAACTGAAATGAAATCGACACAGACGACACAGAACCATAAACATGTTTTCAAAATATCATTCCATGATGATGTCCTATTTTGTGAGTTAATGTCCCAAAAAGTATTCAACACACCACAACTGATTGGTGTTGCTTCAAACCACAATACAAATATTGAAATTCGAAATATGCTTATGTATTATGTAAGAGTAAACCATGTCTCTAACATTACCCGCGTGTAATTCTATCACTCTTAACTTACCTGATCTTGCATTGAACAGGAAAACATTGCTGGATATCTCCGAGTCCAGAACGCCGGTTACGTTGAGAATGATATCACGGAGTGTGATCTTTTTTATATCATCTATTTCGCTGTCGCTAAATCTTCGAAATCTGATGACAAAATATTTGAAAATATAGTGTTTGTTGTGAGTTCTTCTTATATTATCTACCAGTATTTGACCAAGTGTCACTAATCAAGCCAAAATGATGTCTATATTAGTTTCCATAGAAATTGCTTTAGAAAAAAAGCTGTCTGAAGTCATGGAGCATCGTGTATCTTATACGATATTTGACCTTGTATCCGTTTTTTGTAGAATTAGTAACTAAAGCCTTTCATTATAAATCTGATGATTAAATTGTAAACCTTTTGATGATTTGTTATATAGCTTTGTTTGTCCAATATATAGGTCTGTAAATCACAGATAAAGATGGGCTTCTGTCGACACATTTAGTCAGAATCCTTCATTCACTTGTTTCACTTACCTGGTGTCTGTGTTCTCGAACCAAAAGCGATCTCCGTGTCTGATCCTGAGAAACTGTTCTAGCATTATAGCTTTAAACAATTCTCCTGGACCATCCGGTGTAGTTTCCAGAAGTCCACCGGTGAAAATGTCAAGCTCGTCAGGTTTAGTCGTGTTGCCGTAGAGGTTCTGAAGGTTTGTCAATACCTTCGGAAAATATATACATGTGCATCATATAATGCTGCAGTTTACATGTGTCAATTCCTGAATACATGTATTTCAGTTTTCAATTTTCTATTATTTTCTGAAATGCGGTTAAATGTAACAAGATCTTGTCAATCAATTACATCTTGTTTGACACGCTCAACATGTACCATTGGATATACAGTGTACTTCATTTTCTATTCAATACTCACCTTGAGATTATCTTCCAAAGTCGGGTTTATATCCCTCCAGTTTTCTTTCTCCTCGAGACCGTAGGCCAGTCGAACTGCGTTATAACCCGCAATCCCGTGATCTCGACCGCGCTGTATATTTATCGCACCGAGATCACGACGAGAAAAATCCAAAGGGCCAAAAACGTGATCTGAAACACACGCAGAAATATAAAACAGTTGTCATCAACCAATGTGCTACAACCATGGCTAAGAAGACAAAAAAGAAAATATTGTTAACAAAAGTTTAACCTAGAAACGAGATTAACGTAAAGCAAAACATAAACGAAAGAAAGATTTGACCGGAGATCTTTAAAGAAGTAAAAGGAGAATAAGACCAGGAGTTTTACTTTGTCAATAACACTGACCAATGTCTTGCTCAATCCCTGTTGTAATGTCACGTTCTCAAACGAGAACGAGGTTTACAAATATGAAATAAACAGGCATCATCGGACATCAAAAACATTTGACTGTTTAACATACAAGGAAATGTAATATTTCCAAATGAGATCATCAACCAGTATTTCTCTAATCCATGTGTAGTAAGTTTATCCGTCAGTTGTCGTCATCCTTTTACAAAGATGTGATAATTAGAACAAGACCTTGAATTTATAATCAACTGCGATATGTAAGCAGGGATAACATGATCTAGACACTGAAAATACATGTTAGAGAAATCGATATTAACAAGCTTATCATACCGCTCAGGCTTCCTCCTGAGAAATAAAGAATACAACCTAAAGCGTATAATTTTATTTAACATATTTCCTTGGATTCAACATATTTATGATATTAAATTGTAATTTAGATAGCAGATTATTTCACTGTTTTATTATCATCAACGCACTTCATCGTTTCATTGGCGAAATTTGATTTCCACATATAAAGCACTTCTGTAGGGTGTCACTTAACAGAAAAATATTTTGATGTTGTGGATAACATAAATGACATTCCGAGAAAAATATTGTATAAAGAATTTGCAAGATGCAGTGAAAAGTCAATGCGGTTTCATCATCTTTATTATCTCAAACATCCCGTAGTCTAAACCTCCCAATTAAAAATCAAATTACAACTACTATCAGTGTTTTTTGGTTTTTACTTACCCCGCAAATCCGGTACCATAATATGGTCCTCTTGCTCGGCTAAGGTTGAAGTCATACCACGAACAAGATCGTCTAATTGGGGTTCCACTGTTTCCTGTCAAATAAGAAATACAATTCAAACAAATAATATACACAAAACTCGCATTATCAATTTTCAGTAGTAATTTATAAAGGGTCATTAGTAACATACATCTGTTTCTTTGACATATCAGTCACGCTGGATCTCGGGGTTTCAATTTAACTAAATCCTTGACGTTAAGATCTCAGAGTGTTCATAGATTATATCGTGTACACTGTACTTCAAGCTGTGATATTATAGAACGTATGTCGAAATAGAAAAGGCATGCCCCTATTATACCTTATACAAACTTTCGAGATTGCAAAGAGAGGGTTGTAATGAAACCCATAATTGATTAGCATTTAAAATCAGATACAGTCGAGAATATCACTGACTAAAATTTATTGTTCTATTAATAAATGATAAAAAGATAAATTTAGTGACCTTATATCATTTACCCTGTCGTGCAATATTGAAGAGAGCGTTAAGGATAAGAATATTTATTATATCGACACTGACAGTCTTCTGTATTATATACTGTTTGTAATACCGGTCTTTGATGTCACGTGATACCTTGCTATCTCAACCTTGGGTGATAGCATTGGTTTCTTGAATTATTTTTTAAAGATTCGTGCCAAAAACTAATGAAACAAAAAACAGATATAAACTGATAAATGTTATGGTAATACAAAAGACAAACAATCGTATAGAATCTTTCAATACAAATACAAAACAGTAAAGCCAAATAATCAATTAAACTGCATCATACAGATGTTCCGTCTTTCTAGAACTCATCAGTGATGTAAAGGGCCTAAATTTTGAAACCTTGGCGGCGAAAGAGCAAAATCTAAAGTGATCAAGAGAAATGTAAAAAAAAAATCTGAATCTTTTCAAAGCATTTCTTTCGTTATAAAACAAGAGTATTAGAAAAGATTTAATAAAATCACTGAAAACACATAATAACATACATACACTCATACATATATATATCATTTATGGTGATTAAGTAATAAAATAAAATGAAAATGAAAGAAAAGAGTGTAAAGACAGATTTAGATGCAAGTTATTTGAAATGTAGTAAACATTTTGTATCGGAAATAATAAATCAATTGAGCTAATAAATCACTTCATTTGTTTTGTGCATGCTTTACAGATGATTCGACAAAATGGTCCAATGTAGAGACAAAAGAAAACCCATACAATTACTTATTTGGCTAATTTCAACCTGAACCTAAAAAACAGCACTCAACAAGGTTCAGGATGGTTTGTAAACATTCACTTATGTTTAATTACTATATATTATACAGCTGTATCCACATCACGACATATTATCCCATCTTATGAACCAATTAAAATTCATCATCAGTTGACCGCTAGACTATTCGTAAAGGATTTTTTTTCTATTATTCATTTTCATTTCATTTTATTTCCATTTTTCTTTTGCTTGTGGTTTTCTTCTACTTATATTTCACAGTCTAAACAGTCTATGTAGGTGTGTAAAGCAGTTGTACCAATACTTTCCCGTCACGATGTGTACAGATGTGGGAGTGAGAATCAGGAAGTCATTATCATTTTAAGATGAAATCTACCTTACCTGAGAGTTCCAATATGCGTTACACAAACGAAGAGCGTGAACCTCGTCAGGTTGTCCTTGTATGTTTACTTTGACGGGTTTCCAGTTACAATCTCCATTCTGGAGGGGTCCTCTGCAAACGCATATCAAATTCCCAATCATTTTCATAAAATCTCAAGATATCCTTCTGTGTTTCAGATAGCTTCTTCGTTTCGTGTGATCTGTCTTACATCATGACTTGTGTGATTTAACATTTCAGCACTAGAAATATTCGAAATCTTGGTGATGTAAAAGATTAATAAACTTACCTTAACCAGAGTCCAGGTGTCACCAAGGTATGTCCAAATCTCATGGCGGCTGTTTGAAATTCTTGCGTAATACCTGGATGTATTTCAGAACTGTAACCATTGAAACCGCAAAATCCGGTAGTACAGACTTGAAAAAAAAAAGAATAATGATCATTGACCAACTTAAAAATATTAGTTGTAGTATAATGCAAGTCACCTTTGTTTTATTCCGGATCCTATGTTCACCGACATGTCTTACCCCAACGAATTTATAAAAGGAACTTTAAGAAGTTACAAGTACCAAACGACATTATGACAGTCAGTGAAAACGACATTACGCTATTGAAAGGCTATAAAAACATATCTAGTTGAAATAATATTCCTCCTTGTACTGCACTTATCTCATTCTCCATTTCATTTCTACATTTCAATACTTCTCTCATACCTGTATACATGTAACTTTCCTCCTTTCACTTTCCTGATACAAGAAAATCATCTCCCATTTCTACCTTTCTATACCTCTCTCATATCAGCATAGTTTCTGTCTTACATACCATTCGAGTTATACGGTGGTATCTGTAGAGGTGTGCCGACATCTGAAATCTCCAACCATAACGGTAGCCACTGGTACATCACTATATTCTATAAAGATACCAATACAGGACCATTAATGCGTCATTGAAAACAATATCCTACATGATGGTTTCATCAATATGGCGTGATTACATCATTTCTGATCACGGTTGGCCGAATCATTTCAGCAAAATGAAGCAACATTAGAAACCACTTAACATTCAAAAAAAAAAATGTACCATTTGCAAGTGGTCCAAAGGCTACATCATAAGAAATATCACAATTCTAAGCAAGAATAGTCTTCCTCTAACAAAGATCGGAAATCAACATCCACGTGATCCAAAACATTGGAGTGTCATTACGCCACGTAATTATCGAAGTCCGTTATTCCAAAAAGATTACCAAAAGTGTCAGATTTATTTTTGCAATACTTCTCCTACACATATTATCCATTAGAAAAGGAATCTTAATTTCAACTTTTGACACTTTTTGTTTTTGTTGAAAATAGTTCAATATCGACCAGACCAGATGGTGCGATATCAATGTGTGCTTTTACTGCTTTATACGATCACTCATGATATGACCATTTACATAACTCCTTACCTCATTTTGTTTCTCTGTGTCTCCTTACCTAATGGTTTATTTTGACCAGTTATCAATCTACTAACCTGATTGTGTGTTATGACCAGATTCTGCTCCTTCTAACCGCTTTATTTGATGGTATGCTACTGTCAGTTTCTTTTTTCCTTACCTGATGGTGTGCTATGACTAGTTTCCGGGCCTCTTCGAACAAGGCTTCGTCCTCCCAAGAAGGATGCGCATTTTTCAGGTCCTCGGCTATCTTGTTGTGCCAGCGGAAGAAGAGTATTGCAAATGTCAACAGCATTGGATTTTCGTTACCTCTTGGGTTACCGATAGCTGAAACAAAAATTCATCTGGTGACTGGTGACATCAAAGAACAAAAAAAGTAAAAATGAAATTTTAAAGAAAATTGAAACACATATAAGAAGACACGACACTCATTCCATACGTTGCGTTTTACTCTAGAATGAAGTTTAACAATAAAATTAATCTTAACTTTACACACCTAGAAATCTAGACACAGGTCGCAGTATGTGCTGTCGAGGTGCTGGAGGGTTAGCAAATGGAAGTCGGATGGTGTTCTCAGCTGGAAAACTGTCCTTTATCGGTGCGTTTGGATCTCTTGCTTTCAGTTTACCATCTTTAAAAGATCTGATAGCATCTGTCCATGCTCTAGCAGGTCCATAGATCAACGTACCATCTATATATGGCGTGATCTCATTTAGCTAATTCAAAAGAACAATATGCTATAAATATCATATTTTTGAGAAATTCTATTTTCGAAGATGGAGTCAAATGGCTAAATACATATGCCGTTGAAATTAAATCAATATGAGAAATACATAAGTCGTTTCAAGTAAAGAAATAACCATGTAGCTCGAATATCGTTAACGTTGACACTGTATTCTTTAAAGAAAACCGCATGTCTCCACTGACCCCGATAAAGAAGTCCTACTGCGTGTGGCCCCCATTTAAGATTTATACGGAGATCCATAAAAAAGTACAAGAAAAATAAGACCAGATGATTCAGAAGTGTAAATTAGCGTTTTCTGCTTCATCTTCGTCAATTGCACAAAAACTAACTAAGCAAAAACATAACTTATCAACATATATGTGTTTGAAAAACAACGACAACATAAATGTATAATTAATTTTCCTTTTTTAATAAAAAAAAACGCCATTCTGCAAAAGATTCTTTTCTATTCCTATTTGGAGATGATGGTGTAAAACACTGGAGGTGTTTGACCAATACATATACATGTAGTTACCTGTTGTCGTGGGTTGTTAGGGGAATACCCCGTACTAGCATCATATCTGGTCCTTAGAAATGGCATGGCGAGGTTGTCCTTCCCTTCCGGGTTAAACGGATGGTCTTTAGGGATAGGCACATTCTCAAACTCCCGAGGACATCCGGGTCGCTGAGAATCAAGAACCTCTTCGACAACCTGTTGGCCTATTGGTAAGCGCGAAGACCATAGCAGATATCGAAATTAGGAATTATGAATATCATTAAACAGAAATATGGAAATGATGATTACATAAAATCATATCTTTAAGTATAACAACTCATCATTAAAGAAAAAAATATCGACTGTTTGTCAAATTGACTTACCGAAGTACACCAACATTGCGTTTCGTCCCCTCAACGATGGGAGTCCAGCGGCACCGCTGTGGGCTATGCGACTGATGTCGAACGGATTTGGTCTGCTTTGTCCTGCCATGTGGTATACCCCATCAGCGTAGACGGGGGATGACCTTCGTATCAATTGTCCATCTATAAAAAAGATGAAAAATAATTCGAATCGTTGGATCTAATATAGACATACACGACAAGATGATGACGTGTACAGTAATTTTAGAGTGTTGGCATAAATAATACCCGGCAAAGCCAGCCTAGCGTGAAAAGTTCTTCAGTAAACATTGTTACTAAGAGGATGTGATGCCGACAATAAGGCTTTTCCGTGTAAACTGAAACATTTCTGTTTATAGAAATCACTGGTTAATTTCTGATCTAATTTTTGATAATTCAAATTTCCACGATTTTACAAAAACTTTAACTGAAGTGGTGCAATGGCAGATCAATCATTTTATCAATGAACGTTTTTAGGAATCGATTTTGTGCAATTTTAATTTAGCCCTGGGAAAAAAACTTTGAAAGTAATCTGTTTGTCCCATCAATACACATCTTCATAGCATAAGTATATATCAAACTTAATCCAGATAACTGCGGGCAATTAAAGTAACTAGGTAACTGTACAGAATTAAAAAGCAATTACGTAACTGTATATATTTAATACGATACCTAAGGGAAAACGTGTTTCAGTTATTAAAACTCAATTATCTATAAACCTTGACCATAAAAAACCCATAGCTATAAATCTTAATAAGAATATCACATCTACAAATCTTGCATAAGGAAAACGTTTTATTTACATTTACGCGGAAACAAATACAAGGGTCAAATATTAGAAATTATCTAATACAGCCCAATGAGGAAACTGCTCTTAAAGATAATTTCTAGGGAATCTTTATATTAAGTGCTAATATTTACAAAAGATTAGGTCTATAATACGTCACAAGTATTTCCATTACTGGTCAGTATTAGTACTTTTCTGTTCGTTTTCTTTTCAAATTCAATATAGATGTTTCATATAGGTAAACATTGCATTGATGATTGAGTCAAATAAAATAGCTGTTTTTTTTGTTTGTTTGTTTGTTAGGAACGATAGAAATTCCATCCTGACTCTTTCATTCACCTGAATTGACTTTCCACTTCATGAAATGGTTAAATAGTTAAAGTCAACGATGGATGTCAGCTACTGAACAACGCCTCAATATTCTCGGCGGAAGCGCAAGCTACCTACCTTGCCCTTTAACATATTCAAACAATAAAGTAAAGAGAGCTGTTATCTCTTCAGTCTCTCTTTCTGTACTACAAAGTTTTAGCAAAAGAAATATCGATGATGTTTTCATTCGTTATACATTAATACTGTATCATGAACTTGCCTTTAATTGCTTTTTGCTGGGTTTCTGTGCACATGCTAATACCAGACAATAAAAAAGCAGACCGCGCCGCAAAGGAAGCTTTATCGCTACCACCTGTTGGTTTAAACTTCATTTTACTTATTTCAAACCATTTATCAAACATTTTTGAACAGCTCAGTGGCAGGAGGAATGGAATCTATATACCGATAATAAATTGCATTCCTTGAAACCTATTATCGGTGAATGGTCTCCATGCTAGAAAGACAATCAACGAGACGAAGTTGTCCATGCCCGTCTTCGGATGGGCCATACAGACCTTAAACATTCCTATATGTTGAAAGGCGAAGCTGATCCTCGGTGGATAGGATGTAATAAGCTATTCACCGCGAAACATTTTCACTGGAATGCATTGACCGCGAACTTTTTTATCGTAACGTTACAAGTCTATATTACAGACTATAACTTACTATTTAAATATTTTGTGATAATATAACTATTTAAGATTTTTAGCATTTGTCTTTTACCTTTTATTTTGTTTGATGTTATTTCCTTTTTTAGATCGCTGTGTGTTTTAACAGTTGATGGTCCTAATGGCCTTTTATGTGTTGACGGGCCGTTAAGATTGTAATTATAATAAGAATGAGACAACATGTGTGTTGTCATTTGTCAACATGTGTGATGTCATGAGACAACATGTGTGTTGTCATTTGTCAACATGTGTGATGCCATGAGACAACATGCGTTATGCCATGAGACATCACGTGTGATGCTATGAGACAACTTATATGATTCCATGTGACAATGTGTGATGGCATTTGCCAACATGTGTGATGTCATTTGTCAACATGTGTGATGCCATGAGACAACATGCGTTATGCCATGAGACATCATGTGTGATGCAATGAGACAACTTGTTTGATTCCATGTGACAATGTGTGATGTCATGAGACAACATGTGTGATGCCATGGGTCAACATGAACTTTCAGTGTCACATTACGACATATATGATGTTAGATGAAGTCATGTAGTGTGCTACTTGACAGGAGTATGGGTTTATTTACCTAAATGTATAGTTCTTTTGTTATCAACTTCCTTAAACCAGTGATGCGTTAAAACAAGTACAGGGTAGAACTCGAAATGGAGTAAGCTCAGCCCCCGCTTGCCGTCCTGTGCGTCATTCGATAGAAATGGTCTAGCAACCCTTTTCTATAACACTTGATATAGCTGAACATTGTAAAACAATGACTTATTTCCTTGTTAAACTAACGTTCAAGTTGGTCTGGTCAATATCCATTTTCGTCTATAACACCATGAAGCCTTTCTTTATATCCTTATTCACTACCAGTATCAAAACGTTGATTTACCATGGATTAAGACTTCATACTCAACGTTAAAAATTAATTCTATCAGATAATAATAAACTACACGGCACGACGTTTTACATCCAGTTATAGAATATATTGTAATAGGGTGGAGATCTTAGCCGTTCTCATTTCGAGGCCCAGGTGCAAGATCCTGGGATGAAGAACAGATCCTGAAGTTACTTATAATAGTTTACGTAGGTGTTAGCACACTTTCTCAAGACCAGACATTTCAACCTCGTTTACATGTAGGTATACCCATAATGATTGTGTATTGTTATGGGGGAAAGGATATCAACCCTGTCGGTGTATATATGGCTTAGATATTTCCTTACTATGCGCAGCTATTCACAATAGTTAACTTGCATCAAACAACGAGCCGAAATAGCATACTTTAATAGGAGTGAGTGAAACCGTGGCGACTAGAGGCTTGTGTTACAAGTGTAACCCTCTGGAAGTACTCGCATTACTTTCACGCTCAGATTAATATGAATCAGCGCCTCCCTTTCAATATATTTTGTAACACTACTTCTACTGACTAGTTCATCCACACCGCAACGAAATCATATAGCGAGGGCAACATACAGTACTGTCAAGATTTTCACATTCTTTTTTCGAAGGGTTCTGCTTTCCACCATTTTGGAAGAAATTCGCGAAAATTAATGTTTAAGAAATAAAGTGAATGTGTAAACTATTATTCATTAAAGTATATATGTGGAAAATGCAATGTACGGCAGTTGTGTTGCAAAAATATGAACCCCCGAATTACACAGCCTCCGCAGTATTGAGTTCGGTAAAAAAATACATGGAAAAACGGACAAAGATACTTTTGACTGGAGACAATGAAGGAAGTTTTAGTCAAACACTGTCGCTCGTATTGAGGATGGAGCGTATACAACACATTGTGAGAGTGTTAGTAAGCAGTCCCCTGTAATCAGTGCTGGGTATGGTGTTCATTACACACAGGTTACGCCCATTTAGTGTTTGTCACGAAATCGTATGATTGTTACGATGGTTTCTTGAACATCAACAATGAAATGAAGTCTGTGTCATGCCTATTAAGGGAATGCCGGGACCATTCAAGTATATCCTATATAAACGGTGATACAAACAATTTTGAAGGCAAATAATGACTAAAACCCATATCGAAAAATCAAATCAAGTACATAAATTATAATTAGGCAAAACTTAATGTCTATGCACATTTCGTATATAGATTTACGTGGGGATAATTATGGACGGTGAAGTTTGCTCCTACATGGATGGGATATTAACTTTTTCTACGTTATAAAAGTAGAGTTCCTTTCCTATGTGACTTCGATGAATATATATTCTGATTGAAACTACATTAAAACATATTTCTTTCTTTCTTTTCCTTACAGAAAAAGTTTTTCATAACTTCGTCCATTGCCTCATATAACATTACATATTTTCCGGGGAAAGTGTCTTCCCGCATGAACCTGAACACCGAGAGGGATTCCCATATACCTTAAAACGGGATCACAAAGGTCGTTGTATTTTTTAACGGAAGAATAAACTTTTAGGTTTGTTTTCTATGAAATTTAATTCGAAGTGTTATGAGAATAGCTGGTACATGTATTATTGCATCTAGTTCATTCTTTCCTTTAGCATGTGAACATGAAAATCAATTCTGTGTAATGAGACACTCCGTCACGAATGAGCAGGGTGAAAGAATGTGACAATGTACAAACATTGTATGTTGGTCTCAGATCAGAAAATTGGAACAAGGTTGTGGTCACTGAGCTAGGGGGAAAAGTCATATTTCAATACATAAATTCGTCTCTTGTGGAAATAATTGTTAGGGAATGGACTAACACATGAAAACTTCGAGAAATAGTAACTGGTCACTACCTCGCTGAAACACATATGGAAGTCCCGTCGCATTCTATCCAGAGTAATTGAAATGAAGTGTCTTTCTCAAAGACACAACCATTACTCCACTTGGCTGTCACGTTCTCTCCGATGTGTTGTAAAACACAGTTAAATAATGAATGAAGGAATGAAACACAAACCGCCCCGGATCTTCATCAGTGGTAGCTCGGGTCAACGCTCTACCGCTTAAACTATCCTGCAACCATCTTTATTGAAACAGTAAGTGACATATACTTTTAGTGGGGATGTGTTTTAAACAGAAATTGAATTTTTGTTATCTTAATCATGGTTTTGAGTGCTTTGTTGAAAAGATCATTTCGCGAGCAATAAAACTGAAGTTTAATACAAAATATGTAAGTAGGTTATCACTCTCTGCCAGTAACACTGGTTGTCGGAATGTTAAAAAAGAAATTCAGACAAACTGAAGAGACAACAACGAGAATCATTGAACTGTGTCAATATATAATAATTTGCTCATAGCTAAATGAGGTGTTGAGAGAATTACGCGGAATTTATGGGGTGTACCAGGGCAAT